TTATTGAACTATTTTACTGTTTTGTTTGGGATCTGTCTGCACAGAAGCAGAATCCTGCCTCCTCTATATAAGTGGATAGGACATGACCCAACTAAAAAGTAAACTTCACATAAATCATTTTAGGTAGTTCTTATCACACTGATGTATTCTCAACTGCTCATCTTCCCGGTCAAGCATCATGATTGACAGCTGAGACGGGCTCAGGATTGGTCACGCGTGTGAATTGGAGGGGCCTCCATACGGTGTTCGCATCCAGGATATTCCGGGTTCATTTCTTGGTAGTAAGAGGAAGTGGAGACGCATCGCCCATCTTTATGTGCAGTCTATGTGAATCACAAACACAGCTCTAGTGTGTGTTATTCTCCCGTCTATCACTTCACACAATGTACAGCAAGAGATCAAACCAATATTCTCCCTAAACAGGTATAGAAACAACACAGATGACTGAACGGACTGTGCTAAAATTTACAAAAGTGCTTTCCTCTTTCACAGCGTCTCTTGTTAGTTCTTAAAGACGTAATACTCAGTGGTGCCTGCTTTTTGATTAGATGAGAGGTCTTTTTTCCCATTTTATTGTCCTGAGTGTCAGAATATGGTCTTTTGAGGGCGATCCAGTAGTGATGGGGATATTGTTCCATCCTCAAACCCTCAGTTTATTTCAAGTGTTTTATCAAGTCATCACCAGCCAACAGTCTTTAAAGTTACTGTCGAGTCTGTGGAAAGACGGGACAAGGGAGTGTGACACAATATTGCTTCAACTCCTCTGGCTTTGGCAAGTCTCAAAAACCCAGAAGAAAATGTGAGACCATCTCAGAGGATAAACTGGACAGAAGGACATGTCTCTGTCTCATATTGGTCCTGCCAATGTTTTCCTCCAGGCTCCCCGTGTGCATGTGTGCGCTGACCTCCTCCCTGCGATCAGTGGGCCTTTCACACCTGCGTTGATTTGATTCGACGGAGAGCATGTCGTCCTTTGGGGTGGGCGGGGCAGGGTGGGGGACTTTCGGAGGGCAGGTCTAGACTGCGCTGGTGAGGCAACGCCGCGAGGGGAGGAGCACATCGGGAGGGGTGGGGGATGGGATTGGCTGATGGTCATGTGATCTCAGAATACGGTAGCCCTGGAGCCTAACAGGAGGCAAAGGAGAGACGGAGGTTCAGGTGACGTAGAGAGCAAGGGAGTAGAAAACATATGGGAAGTAAAACCTGAGGGAACAGGGCAGATAAACTCGACTTGACTAAAACAGCAAGAGACAAGAATGCAGAATGACCACGTCTAGAAAAGAGAAAGGATGCACAGAGATATCAGAGAGAAAGAAGCATGTAACAAAACACTGAGATGTAATGAAACAAGTGAGGGTATTAGGGAGAAGATAACTAACAATAACATCTCTAAACATATTTAAATACTATGTGGCAATCAGTGGAGAGCAAACCTCCACCACAGGCCCGACAGGCCCCTCAAGCTGCACTGAATTTCACACACTTATAGAGGAGATTTGAAAGGAAAAAAAACACAACATTAAACAAATTGAAAAAAAAAAATCCTGGATTTACCCCCTGATCTGGATCTGCACCAAAACGTGATGAGTTTTGTGAAAATCCATCCAGTATTTTTTGTGTAATCTTGCTTCCAACTTATTACCTCATTGGTGGAGGTAATAAGTATTAGCATTGACAAAACCTCTCCATTAAAAGAAATGCATACACTATTCATGTATTGCATTCTGTTGATCACTGATTCTTTTATCAACGTTCTGTTACCCACCCCTTACCTGGAGGCCACTTAACTTTTCGAGTGGACTCTCCACGCGAGGCAGGCTGAGCAGAGGGAGCCCGACAGAGGGCTCTAGAGGGCGCTGCGGAGGTGGAGGAGTCGGCGCTCCTATCTGGGTTGGCTGGAAATTGTTGATCACACATGACACCTGATGGAGAGCATAGAACAGAGGGAAATAAAAAAGGAGGGGAGAGATTCGCTGCACTGCAGAGATGGATGAATTTGTGTGAATTTGTGAGTGTGCACGGAAAACAGATTCTGAAAAGAGCACTTACAGTGTGAGAGGTTCGAGGTTCGAGACCTCCTCAACAGAAATACTCAGGTGCCTCTATCATAGGTTTTCTTCGGTGGCTCCATAATCTTTTAGGGGCTCAAAAATAGAGCTAACCAAGCCTTTGCAGTGGCTGCGTCTAATCTCTGGAAGAGCTCAACTATATTCCCATCAGAACTGCGGGAATCTATGAAATCATTGCAGTTCCTTTCACTTCAAGCTGAGCACGAGACCTTGATTTCATCTGCTATTGTGCAATATCTTAATCCTCGAGTATTTACAA